GCTTCTTTGGCAATTAATGTTTGTGGCTTACCCTCCTTGTGAAGGGTGTCAATGATTGTCTTCTGGACAACTGTCAGATCAGCAGTCTTCCCCATGATTGTGTAGCCTAGTGAACCAAACTGAGAGACCATTTTGAAGGCTCAGGAAACCTTTGCAGGTGTTTTGAGTTGATTAGCTGATTGGCATGTCACCATATTCTAATTTGTTGAGATAGTGAATTGGTGGGTTTTTGTTAAATGTGAGCCAAAATCATCACAATTAAACGAACCAAAGACTTAAACTACTTCAGTCTGTGTGCATTGAATTTATTTAATACATGAGTTTCACAATTTGAGTTGAATTACTGAAATAAATGAACTTTTCCACAACATTCTAATTTATTGAGATGCACCTGTATGTATAATTAAAACCACTGTCTCAAAAAAATACAAAATACAAAATATATACATTTTTCAAACACAAAAATGAAAGTATAAAACTTTATCAGTGGTCCATCACAAACCAAAACACTTCACAGTGACATTTCTGGCATTTGATTATACCTCGAAAGCTCTAAGTAAGACACGTGTCAGTTCTACCTGGAACAAATCCTCTCTGCGAGTCATCCCAAATTTGCAGCACATGTACTCAGATACGCAACCTGCCCATTACATAATATGGATATGTTATTAATCATTTATAATTACACTTCACTGTCCCTAGCCATGCTGAATGACGTCAGATGACGCAACAAGAGGTGTGGAAGTTCCTAAAGACCTGCTGAGTCACTTTTAGATTGTGTCTAGCCTAAATGTGTTGGCATTTTCTTAAATATTATATGGAAGAAAATTTGTGATTTAAAAATTTAATATTATATAAATTTGATTCAAATAGTTTTTTTGGCATGACTGTAAGCAATAAAACATCACCAACGCTTGGAATATATGCAAAATAAATAAATAAATAATGTTGTTATATGACTTAAACTATATATTATTTATATATTTGGTTGGTTTAACCATAATAAAGCCCCATGTACAAGACACTAGTTCTACTACTACTACAACTACTACTATTGTTTTATTATTATTATTATTATTGTTGTTGTTGTTGTTGTTGTTGTTGTTGTTGTTATATGACTTAAACTATATATTATTTATATATTTGGTTGGTTTAACCATAATAAAGCCCCATGTACAAGACACTAGTTCTACTACTACTACAACTACTACTATTGTTTTATTATTATTATTATTGTTGTTGTTGTTGTTGTTGTTGTTGTTATTATTATTATTGATTATTTGTTTCTAATTTTAGACACATTCCATGTTAACGTCTATCAATACTTAATAGCTTAAAAGAAGAAGACTGAAATGTGTAACTTTGAGTGACTATTACGGCGTGTTTTGGCTGTTCCCTGTTCTGGATCTCACTTGTATGTTATGTTCGTATTTTCCTGAAGCAATGTTGAGTCACTGACGCCAATAAGTGACACATTGTCATCAGTTCGTGCGTCTGCACCTGAGCTTTTAAAGATCTCCAAATAGTCTTCGTATAGAGAAGTTTTGATTGGTTGGCTTCCCTAGTATTTAAACGAAAGCATCCAGTTGTAGCCAAATTGCATAGGTGAGTGGATTATATACTTACGAGGATACATTATGCTGATGGTTGAGGCAGTATATTTGATCTAATCTAAAGTAGAAGCAGGCGCGACAGATGCGCGTTAAATCCCCGATAACGGCGTGCGTCAAAAACTCACCAGAGCAGGATAACAAAACATATATCTGAGGGAAGAAAAGTTAGTAAATCAAATTGAGCTGACCTACTTAAATTATACGATTTCGTTCAATGCAAACCTCCCTCAGTGCCTTTTTTTTTTTTTTCTTTTTGCGTTTTCCCAAAGCGCAAACGCGCGTCTTCCCACCTGCAGCTTGAGCGCGTTTGGGCAGCTCATGTTTTTCAATGACAGTTCATCGAGCAGAGAAAAACTTGTGGATCTGTAGTCGGTTCACACCCGACTTGTCACGGACATAATAGCAACAACAGATCAAGAGAGGCACGATAAGGGAGAGTTATTAGAGCCTGACGCTCGAAGTGCAACATTTGGAGATCATCAGCAGCAGCAGCAGTCATGGGCAACAGTGTGTCCGGGATCAGAGCACTGCACAGGGGACAGCAGAACAGATTTCAAAGACTTCCAAACTCACATAAAGGTTAGTACTTTGTTGTTTGGATTTTATTCTACTCTTTCTGTAGTTAAAACAGTAGAGCATGAAGCCAAGGTCGTGGGCAGGAGCGTTTTTAGAGTTTTGGGGGCTCTAAGCAAGTGCTCCCTGGGGGTCCCCCTCGGTAGAAATCTCGTTTCGGGGGTGGAGGGTTAGTGTTTGGATGGGGGTAGAAATCACACAAGTGTGTGGGAACCTATAAACACGCTACTGGTCATGGGTTCGATTCCCGGCAAAAATTACTTAGAAAAAAAAAAGTATTATAATGTATTGGATTTGTACTACTCGAAAATCAAACTTGAACTAGTAGCTATATTATGGAATGTGGTTTTTAGCTGGTCCAAGTTAGCTACAGTACAGTACAGTAGTTGACAGGACATGTTGATGGTCCATCTTCATGATAGTTGGGCCAAGTTAAAGGATTAGTTCACTTATAGAAAATAAAAATTTCCTGAAAACTTTCTCACCCCGCATGTCATCCAAGATGTTCATGTCTTTCTTTCTTCAGTCGAAAAGAAATTAAGGTTTTTGAGGAAAACATTCCAGGATTTTTCTCCATAGTGGACTTCAATGGTGGTCAACAGGTCCAAATTGCAGTTTCAGTGCAGCTTCAAAGGGCTCTACACAATCCCAGCCAAGGAATAAGGGTCTTAAAGACTTGAACATCTTGGATGACATGGGGGTGAGCAAATTATGAAGAAATTTTATTCTGGAAGTGAACTAATCCTTTAACTAATAGCATGTTCCAAATCAGAGTAACTAGCTCATGATTTTTTTTAGGAAAGAAGACATTTTCTTTTTCTGTATATTCTAAAGTTAAACATTCTGCACCAATAGAGGATTTTTTTTACTTTTTGTGTCTCTGAAACATGCTTATTATGATATTTCTCATAACCGTTGAATCGATGTGGGTGCTGAAGGACAGCGCTCAGATAGGCCAAAGTTTCTTTCTCTTGTGCCACATTCATCAGCTTCTTATGGGTGAAAGCAAATAGTGAAACTTTAGTTTGTCCATGTTACTCATCACAATACTGTAATTAATTATTACAGTCATAACAACAACAATGCGCAATTACGAGCAACTCTGCAAAACAATTAAACACTCAGGACATCATGTTCATTCATATTACTCAGCATTTACTTATGTAAATACACACGTGTATGATTATTGTACTGTACAGTACAGCGTGACCCAAGTTATAAATTATGAGAGCAATTCAGAAGTCCGAGCTGTATTATGTTGACCCATTTTCTCTTTCTGTGCCGGAAGTTCAACTAGGCCTGGTTCACCAGGTTAAAAGTTTAATGGTCTGACCGAATGTCCTTCAGAAACATTATTTTATGTAAGCCTCTCCTGAACTCTTCTCCAACTCCTAGTGGTGTTGCGTAGGAGGTTTGCGGCGATGGAGGTAATTTTTGAGATTCTGTTCTGTTTCAAAGCTCTTCTGATTCATGCATAACAGAGCATCTGATTATGAAGATTATGCCAGTGCAGATATAATTGCGCCCCTCATTAGCAAAAAAAGCCATTATATTCAAATAAAGACGTGCTGAAGGGGGCTTTAATTATCTGTGCCAATGACAAGGCACTCCGACGCATTTATCGTGGGCACCACAGGGCCAGCAACAACATTCAAAGGGTGACACAAATGATTTGTAAATGTAATGATTTGTAATTGATATAAAACAGAGCATGAGAGCACATAAGCCGGGTTTTCTCTTCTAATGACCTTCCTTTCTTCATTGTTACAGGAAGGCACAAAGAAAATGCTAGGTTATTTGCACACAGATTACGCTAGAGGTGAATCAAAGCGCTTTTTTTAGGTGTTTATCAGGAAACACACACGTTAATAAACTGATACAGTGAATAGCGAGGCCATTTGCTGACAAATTTCCTTATTACGTGTTTGCATGCATGCGCTCTTGTGATGAATTGTAACGAGAGGCAGAAAGGACAGTGGAACCCATTATCCTGTCAGACGAGATCTCCTTGACAACAGGGGATAGCATGTAAACCGTTACCATGGCGATTGTCCCTCGGCATTATAAGATAACAGGCGGAAGGTTAGGTTCTTATAAATGTGTGTCTTTGTACCGCTTGTTTTGCACCAGAAATGCAGCACGCAAAATTCAAAGCTGGATACAAATTGTAGTTCATTACTGATTCCAAATTACATGACAAAAATTGTAGTTAGTAACGTAATCCATTACATTACACATTTTAGGTAATATAATCAGACTACTTTTAGATTACTTTTGACCTAACTCATGTATCACATTGATTTAAATAGGATAATATTATACCATATTGGTATAAAAACACAAATAGTAAGAAAATGTGACCCTGGCTGTGAAAATCCAGCTAATGTTTTTTTTTCCTTTTTCTTTTTTTTTTATGATTTACTGTTTTCTACATAAAATCATCCTTCATAAGGTAAAGAACATCCTGTGAAAATATAACCTTGATATCTTTAATATTGACTGAGTAAGACCATGTCAAAGATTGAAATCATAGTGAAATCAATGGTTAAAATCAAACTTTGATGCTTTTTATCTCATTATTAGATTTTGAGACTTTAGCCTGGATTTCATAGAGAGGGTCACAAATATATTCCAGTTGTTGGTATCAACATCAGTGAACATTACATTACGTCAAGGATTCCAAAAACTGGTGTTTGTAAAGGAACTGCAGGGGGGTTGTGTGTTTAACAGCTAATAATTAATTAAATCATAAAAATGTGGAAAAGAAAAAAGTTTGGGAATGCCTGCATTACATGTAAAAATAAATAAATAAATAAATAAAAAAGGAATAACGTGAATTTGTGCATTTTAATGTGTTTGAAAGACAAACGAATCCAAAACATAGAAATACATGGTCAAAAAACCAACTGAGTGATAATTCACATAAAAAATGAATGTGTTCTTCAGTAGTTGATGCAATGTTGAAACACTTCTTAAAACTGAAATTAAATTTGTGAATCCAGTGGTTAAATACTATGTAACCACCTGACTAATGAATGATCTCTGAGTAAATTTCTACAAAACGGAAGACTTTCTGAGTGTATATACAGTTGTTTTAGAAAGGAACATTAAAAGATGAAAAAGAGGAATTAGGGAGGATTAATAAATTGTACATAATTGATCACTATTGTGTAAATAATATGTAATCATGTATGTAATCAATAAAAAAGTAAAAAGTACTTAAACGTAAAGTACTTAATTTTTGGAATCTGATTACATAATCCAGATTACATGTAATCCGTTACTACCCAGCTCAGATTATTACTTAGAACCTAATTTTTACGAAAAGGCACGAAAGGGCGAAAAGAAACCTGTTTAATTTTGTATTATAATGGGACTGAACTGTCCCCACATCCTTCTGATTCCACTCCATTAAAAGTCAAATTCAACCAATTTCCCTTTTTCTATAGGAGAGACGTCACGTTTCAAGCCTGTTTGTTTCTCATCATAAATGATCAGGATAAAATGTTTCATTTCCATAGCAAATGGCCCCACTGACACCAGCGACATCAAGGCTCTATTTCTGGCCAAATGACTCACCGCAACATGTTGCACTTAATATGAATTTGATGTAAATGTGTGTCTGCATATGAAGTATATCTGCACAAGCACACAACAGGGAGATATGAGATGATTCATGGCTTTATGAAGGGAGGGGATGTGAGAACAGGAGCACAGTAACCGGTCCAGAAAATGTGACCCTTGATGGACGAGGGAAGATTTGTGTTTGTGTCTGCTTTGTATGCAGATGTGTTGATGTCTCTGCATGTTTTTGTCTATTCATGATTACATATAGCCTACATGTTTATTTAGTTGTGTGGGAGGGTGGGAGGACACATCTAAAATAGTGCAGCTCCAGTTAGTGTTGTGATCTAGCGGTTAGCGCACATGATTTGGTGCTAGTTCAAATCTCACTTGTGATATTTTCTGATCCACCTTCACTGTGAACATTGGTTCAATTGGGAACAGCATACTAGCATAGTATTTCTGTCATACAGAGATATAGCTGAAATAGTACACTCTAAAAAATGCTGGGTTAAAAACAACCCAACTTGGGTTATTTGGCAACCCAGCGCTGGGTAAATATTGGACAGAACACGTGCTGGGTTATTTTGACCCAGGGGCCTGTTTCATAAAACAAGTTAACCAAATAAGTCAGGCTTATTTCAGTTAGTCTGACTTATTTTGAACCAAATCAGATGACAATAAGTCAGACTAACAGAAATAAACCTGGCTTATTTGGTAAACTTGTTTTATGAAACAGGCCCCAGCTGGTTGGGTTAAACGGTTAAACTCACCATGCTGGGTTGTTTAATTTAAGTCATCTATTGTTTAAAAATTATTATATTGCTGGCTTAAAATGGGCTGGAAATTAAAAATTGCACACAGAATTACTATGGGCAACAGCAATAATCAAAAGATGAACATTTATTATTAAGCAAGAACACCCATGGACAAAATACAAGACAAATTGAATTTATTTGGGCCAAAACAGCATATTACATACATTTAAACTCATTTAACAAGCATTTTAGAAATAAAAAAGGCACATTTAAAAGTAGCATTTTAATTTAAGTGTATTCAACCGTTCTCTGTAATCGCTTTTTACCGAAATAGTGCTAATTCTCGTGCCGGTGTGTCGCCGAAATCTGAGCCAGTGAAGGGCTGCTATTCGCTGGGGAACTGCGAACTTTAGACCGCGGCCTCGCGTTTCACTTGTAGCTGAAAGATGCCATGACTGACTCCAAAACCTGCCCAAAAACAAACAGTACTGAGATTAGAGAACATATTTTAACATCAAATTAACACACTCAGTATTATAACGAATAAAATCCATTTATGTTATGCAAGGCAAAGGCGTTTCCAGCGCGAAACAACCGCTGCTGATGCAGCTGACTGACATCTCGACCTTATGTTGCATTGCGTAAAATAATATAATTTACACCACATTAAAGACTTTATAAATT